CTTATTTTTCTCCAGCTTTAACATCGATATCGGTTATCGGCTACACAAGTTTTAAAATATCGGCATATCGGCCAAAATCCTAATATCGTGCATCCCTAGTAGTGATGTGGTGTCAATAGATTTGTTGTTTATTGACTGTAGTGTTTCCAAACCAAAGGGAAGCTAGGAGCTAATTTCTGCTCATCCTTACTGCTAAGGCTGCATGATATCAGATCTTTTTCCGTTGACCATAATAGTTGGGATATCAGTTTATTTTCTTCTTTCCTCTCTTCTTTATCTGTGCTTTCATCACTCTTTTGCATTTCGGGCTGTTTTTATGTCCAGTGGAAGCTTTAAGCTACCTAAAGGCTGGATTAGCGTTGGAAGTTTATCTATTGTCCTAGATCGACCCCTTATTAATCCGTTTGATAAAACCAGTTGAAGCCAAAACTTCTATTTGAGGAGTTCTGGATAAATTAGAGAGATTTCCTTTTTTTTTTTTTTTTGCAATTAATGAACTGATTGGGTCGCTGTTTAAGCGAATGGCACGTATTAGAGTTTGTATTCTCCAATTAAAGATGACTAAATTAGTGGATAAATATTTCAATAATCAATAAATCCTAATTTGTCTGATTGGTTGTTTCTTTCACCAGGGTGATTGTTCTGCAGCTTGAGCAGATTCAGGGTTTGAGAAATGACTTTAACACGCTTTATTTGTCTGTTGTGTTTGTCTCATTATAAAGTTTTCAGTGTGAATGAAAAGTTAAATAGTTTTGTTTGTTTTACTGTGAGAGCAATTCCGCTCAAGCGTAAAGACTTTTCCACATGAAGGATTGATAAGAAAAGCTGTTAAAAGGTGTGTGTGTGTTTGTCTTCTGTCTTAATTTGTCTTTAGCTTGATCTTTAATAAGTAATGGTCTCACACAGCCTTTTTCTTTGTGGATTATTCTGCCCTATGATCCATGAACGACCTAGAAAAGCAAGAAAACCAGACAAAGCGCCTGTTTGTTTGGTGGAAACTTTCCTGCTCGGCATATTTTATCAAGGAACCAACCCACAATACTTTGTGCAACAGACAATCTTATCTCAACGCACCTTTGAAGGGTTTATAGAGGGTTGTTGTTTTTTTTTGTTTTTCTTTTTGCACATAACCAAACATAGTCCTTGGCGTATAATTATTCATTAACCACATTTTTTCTGGAGGCCTTTTTTCTTCCTTATTTGTATAATCGAGTTGTCATATAAATAGAAACTCTCTGATAGCAGGAAGTAGCTAAAACGCTAGAAAACTACAATGATTTCAACAGCCATTTCTGCCTAAACTGACATGAATCAGTCTTTAGTCTGCTGCACTTTATGAATGGAAATGTTCTTTTTTGCTGCTAAGCAGTAAAAAAGAATCCGTATAAACTCTGTGTTTTCAAAATGACGATAAAGTTAGTCTGAGTCTTAAGTTAAAAAGTCAAAAAGCTGTTAATGAGGCTTTAAGACTCCAGAAAACCACAGATGAACCATAAGTAGAAAACATGGAGCAGTTTAATTTAGAATAGAATAGAAAATCCCTTCATTGTCCAGAAGCATTACAGCAAAACTGGTCTCACAAATGTGAACCTTTAAAAGTGCAAAAAATAACAGAATAGGTGACAGAGTTTAAAAATAAACAAAATAAAGTGCTTTACTGTACATTGTTTTTACAATATAAATGATGTGCAATTATAGAATAGATAATCAATATACAGCTGAACAGATTTTTACATTAGTGGAAATAGGAAAATAGCAGCAAGCAACAGAAATGTGCAAAAATAACAGCAGCATGTTATTTAAGTGAGTGAACAAAGCAGCAGGCGTTTTATTGATGCTCAAAACTCGTGTGGGTGATCTGATGCTGGAAGAAACGGCTGTCTGAGTTTTTGTCCTTAAATGTATCACTATTCATCCAGTTTATTTCTCGGTGTCGTGGCACATTTGGATTGATTCACAGTAATGTTTTCCCTGCAGGATTTATGCATATTTCTGGAATAAAACCAAAGCTTTGTCTCACTCACTTCCCCTCTTGCAGGAAAAATACATTTCTGATCCAGTTTCTGTGCAGTAAATGGATTGTTGTCTTTTTTTCTTCCCTCTTTTTTGAATAAATCGGCTGCTGTTTTTGATTTTTGGTGGGTTACAATCTTGTTTTTTTTTTTTTTTCTTTCGCTACAGGAAGGATCTGAGAATGAGGAGGAAGAGCGTGATGAAGAGGAAGAAGAGAACACGGATTATCTGACCGACTCCAACAAAGAGAATGAGACGGATGAGGAGAACAATGTAATGAGGTCAAAGATCCATAGTTTTCTGGTAGATGGGGGGAGTTTCTGAGCTGGTTTTGTTTGCTGGCTGTTGATAGGAGGTGACCATCCGTGGGGGCGGGCTGAAACATGTGGCCTGCGCTGAGGATGAAGACTTCATTCAGGCTCTGGATAAGATGATGCTGGAAAACCTGCAGGTTTTACATCCTCATATAATTACGCTGGAGTAGATTGAGCGTTGTCCCGAGTGACGCCCCGTGATGAGCGTGTTTTGGTCTCTGCAGCAGCGCAGCGGCGAGGCGGTGAAGGTGCACCAGCTGGACGTGGCCATCCCTCTGCAGCTGAAGAGTCAGCTGAAGAAGGGCGGCTCTGGGCAGCAGTGCATGGGAGAGGGAGAGGCGGACATCTCCGAAACCATGCAGTTCGTCATGCTGACCCGGAAAGGAAACAAACAGCAGGTGAGAGAAAACTGCAAGCATCTCATCCTTTGGTTTGTTAAAGCGTCACAGTGAGATGGAGCTCCGTCTCATCCTCTGAACTGGTCTAAGTCTCATCTGTTCCACGGGGATCTTTTGTTTCATCTTAAAGCAGACATCTCTTCATTCCTTACGCTCACTCAGAACCACGTCCTCAGGTTGACCTCTGCTGCTGTAGCTCATGTTCTGCCGTTCTGGCTTTAGCACCTCCTCTGACTGCAGCCATCTTTCCTCCTATCAGTAATTGTGTTTAAAATAAAGAGGTGGTCTTTAGGGCTGCAACTAATGATTGTTTTGCAAATTGGTTAATCTTTTGATTGTTTTATTTTTGATTAAATGCTAATAATCGGCCAACCAAAGTTTCCTTTTTACGAAATTAAACCAGCTGAAACTCAAAGTTTTCATCCAAGGCAGAATCTTTTACTCATCTTTAGATGTTTAGAAAGATGATGCTGGGGCAGTCAGCCAATGTTATGTTCAGACAGCAACCAGCTGAAGCAGCTGGTTTACATGCAAAGTCAATGGCTGACATGCATGTAAACCTGCAGCGCGTTTTGAGCAGCTGAAGCTGCGCCTCAGAAGCAGCAGCTGCTATAGTTGGAAAAATTTAACTTTTGGTGCACGGCGCTCCACATCAACCAATCAGAGAAGCTGATCTGGGAGCTGGCAGGGAGAGAGACGGTCTGAGCGACAGTTAAATAATAGTTTAAGGCGGGATGGTAATCTGGATGAACTGACTGCAGAGATGAAGGTTTCAGTCGACTTTCTCACTTAAAAACATATTAAAACTAATTTCTACCCACTGATCACAGCTAATATAGCCACCATTGTTCCAGGCAAAGAAAGGATAGTGAAGCTCCGCCCATCGCGCATCAGACCCACTTTGGGACTGCGCAGCCAGAGCAGCAAAGATGCTTCAGTCGCGCATCAGAACTAAAGTTGTACAAGCATCAAAAATGAAGCACCTGCTGCTTGCAGTCTGAATGTAGCATAATGCTAAGTTCAGACTGCAGACTTTGATGCTCAATTCCAGTTTTTTTGTGAAATAGCATTCTTTGGCGTGGTCGTTCACATTTCAAAATATATGTGACTTATATGTGATGTCCTGTGTGATCTGCATTCACACCCTAAGTTTTCCGCAGGCGCATTAGAGGGCGCAATGATGTCACAAGCAAGCGTGCTCCGTGTTTATGGAAGTAAAAAAAAAAGACACAGAAAAACTGCTTTTTCTGTAGCTGCTCCTAAACTATGGAATGAGCTTCCTTTGGCATAAGACAGGCCTCCTCACTCACTGTTTTTCTACTTAAGAAACCATTTTTTTCTTTGGCTTTTTGCCCAATCTGACAGGTTTTACTTTGTTTAATTGAGTCTATATATTAATTATATTTTATACTGAATCCTTTTTTTATAATTGCATTGTATTTAATGGTTGTGCAGCAATGCAGCAAATTAGTTGCTTCCTTCCGGCTATCATAGCAACACCAACCCCTTTACAGGAGAACAGAAGACCTCGCCTGTTCAGCCAGGCCAACTATTCCCTCTAACGACCCCCCTTTCAGAGGCATAGACAGGTATGGGGCATTGCAGGCTAACAAAGAAGCCAAACGACCCCCATTCCAAAGGGGGGGACCCGTTCATCCGTTTCTATTTGCATGTTTTCTAAACTAAAACCAGGCTTTGTTTTGGTCCGCTCTATAAAACCTGGAACTAAACAGTTTTTCTGACATTTTGAATTGAAAAATCTTCCTGGATGGAAGAGAAACGTCTTCAAACTTGGAAACAACATCCAGTGCATAGATTGATGATTTCAATTAATCAGGAATCACAGTTTCTCTTTTCTAAAACAAACCAATTCTATCGTCCAAGATGTCCGTCCTCTATCTGAGAAAACCTCCAGTATTAGAGAGGAGAGGACGGGACGCCCCGCCTGCGGTCTGTATGAGACCAGCTTCCAGTACTGGTCTAAGAACGGCCCCACAGCAGTGTGACCATCAAGAGGAGAAGCTGGTTTCTTTACATGCTTCTCTCTAAATTTACCAAGTTGGTTAAAATAGTTTGATTTCTAATTTTCCTTGAGAATCTAAATTTTTTTTTTATTTGAATTAAAACAGAGTTTCCTTCAGTATAAAGTTAATTTCTAAAACGGTTTAGATGGAAACTTAAATCAGTTATTTATCCATTTGTTTCTAAGCACTTTGATCTTTTAATTGATTTTAATCAAAAATAAAAACGTTAATTAGTGGAAAATCCTTCAGCATCACATCAGTCACACCCTTTTTATCCCTGCTGATTAATTTAACACATTTCCACTGATCTGCATACATTTATTTTATTCCTTTTTTGATATTTTTTCCTGAATGCTAGTAAAGTTAAAAAAAATCCATTGGTCTGCATCTTTACAGCAGTCCCCCCCCCCCTTTTTTTATTTTATTTTGGTCATATGTAAACAAACATGTAAAATTAAATCAAATCTAAAGCTGAACAGTAGATGAATGTGATTTAAAAGGATGTTTTGCTCTGATTGGACAATAATTCAAAGCAGGATCGTTAATAACAGCAGCAGCGTCTCCAAACATCAGAGACTTTTTATCTCCGGGTGGAAATGGGATCACTGGTGGACATCTGGGTGTAAATATTTATCATGTTCCAACCTTATTCAGACAAAATGATAAAATATTATCTGTATGGTTTAAACTTGGATCATGAACCTTCATCTTGCTTTGATTGCAGTTTTATCTTCTTTTTTTCGGGCTACTTTCTCCTTCCTGGGACTCTGCTTTACAGACGATCTCTGCTTTGGTGTCTTAGATGAGTTCAATGTTTTAAAGCTTTAGATGGAGAAATATATTCTGCCACTTTGGCCTTTCTGCACATTCTTTTTGTCGTTTTCTGGCCGTGCTTCAAGTTTCTTTGTGCTCTGTGAAATAGAAAATGAAGCTTTGTGTCACCGCTCACGATGATGAGATTACAGCGCAATAAATGTGTGGAGATATTGGATGTTTGTTTTTGTTTTTTTCTCCTAAACGGGGTCTGTGCTGTATTCCCGCCAGCCGAGTGTTTTTAGGGTGCGTCTTGTTTGTCGAGGTCTAATTACAAGGCAGCGAGCGTATTTCCTCATTTCCTGCCACAGCTTTTCTCTAAATGCTGCACAGAAATGTGAAGCATGGAGAGAATGAAAGCTGTTATGAAGAGGAAAGATGGTTTAAAGTCACTCAAACTGTTTTATGGGTTTACTGTCTTTCTCTGCGCATTAAAAACCCTTTGTAGTCTGCAGAGCCAGAGACACCCTGCATTAAAAACAAGCTGCAGGGATCCTCCCTTTGAGGTAAAACTCATTTATAAATTCATTACGCATCCTGATACATTCAGAGCCTTTATTTCCTGTTTTATGTAAGCTCAAAAAAACATTTTAAAACATGGATGTCAGGATTTGTAATCATCATACAGTTTGTCAGAGTACTTTAAAACCAGTGGATTTCAGAAACCAGGAGGAAACCTGAATCATCANAAACACAAACGGAGTATAAATAAAATATTTCTAACAGTTATCATTGGCAAAACAACGATACAAGAAAAACAAACATTGGCCTAAAAGTCAGCCGACAGATGAACCAGTTCGACCTTTTTTACATTAGAGGCATAACGAATAGCAGGAAGTGTTATGGATGGCGGCATGAGCGGCTTCTGACGCCTGTTCTCCTGGTTGACAGTATAAGATCCTGAATGTCCCGCTGTCGTCCCACCTGGCGGCGAACCACTTCAACCAGCAGCAGGCGGAGCAGGAGGAGCGGATGAGGATGAAGAAGCTCACCCTGGACATCAACGAGAGGCAGGAGCAGGAGGACTATCAGGGTACGCCACCAGGACCCCTGGAGGCCCGCCAGGAAAACCAGAACCTTGTTTTGATGAGTTCGTTATTTGACTAACCAACAAAATGTTTCATTGATCCCTCCGTTCTGTGCGTCTTACAGAGATGATGCAATCTTTCGCCCAGCGTCCGGCGCCAGCCAACACCAACCGAGAGCGACGGCCCCGCTACCAGCACCCGAAAGGCGCTCCCAACGCCGACCTCATCTTCAAAACTGGAGGAAGGTGAGGCGTCCAGAGCTGCCAGGAAGCAAACCAGGAGAATGTGACGCCCCTGGGGCCTCGTTTAGATAAGAAAAGTGCAATAAAGGAAAAGCAGGAGGCCCAAGGCAGGCAGAGAGACCAGAAGCCGAGCATCTGAGACGGCGAGGAGAACCCAGACGGCGAGATATTGTAACATTAATGACTGTTTAAGAGTAACTGGGCTCTGCTTCTGTTGTGTGTCTGTTTAACTGCAGCTGTTTGGCTTTTTATCTGGTTTTCCAGATCTTTGCTGCTCCATGGAAGCCAACCAGACATTTTTAATTCTTATATCCTCATATTTTTACTTTGTTTTCCTTTCAGCTCCTTCATCACATCTTTCCTTCCTGCTTTAGATGCCAGAGTTTAGGTTTTCAAACTATTTATCTTTCCTCCCAAACCATTTTGCTTTTAAATCTCCGCTTCAGATGTAGAAATTTATGAGATGTGAAAGTGGATCTAGGAAAGAAAAGAAAGAAGTTGCTGTCTGAACTCCTCTTTAATTCTTCTGCAGCCTCTGTAGAAACGACGTTATAAACCGCAGCTGAAGGAGTTTCTACAAGCTGCTGTCTGCGCTTTAAGCTGCAGCTCTGCTCGTCTACAGTAACTGTCCTGCTCTTTCCTCCAGGAGACGCTGATCGGAGTCTGGGCCCGGGCTGAACGAGCGAGCGAGCATCAGAGAGAATGAGCCAGCAAAAGAGAGAGAGAGAGAGAGCGAGGAGGAGACGTGAGGGGAAAGCGGTCGCAGGCGGGAACGAGTCCTCCAGACGTCAGGACTGTCCAAAACCCTCCTGACCTGAACTCACACTGTTAGCGAATCCAGAGGTCTGTGGGGGGGGGCGGCGTATGAGAGGCGGCATCAAGAGGTCAGAGGTCAGGGCTCAGACAGGGGCTCTCTTTCTTTTTTGTCTGTTATCTGAAATGACAGAAAAAATGCCAGCAGTCTGGACTGGAGGACAGACCACACGCACCTGAGCAGCGGACCGGCGGGCTGGGGGGGCTTTAGCAGCTGTCACCGCACCAGCTGGAGGAAAAATAAACTGCTTTAAAGAAGAACATGTCTGCATATTCTTCTTTTTTCTTTTTGGGAACCAGTCGGATCCACAGAGACTCTCAGAAGGCGATCAGTTTCCGCTGGTTTTTGTTCCGCAAAGCAAAGAAGTGAATCTTTTCAGAGGAATCATGAAGAAGATCAGAAAAAGGATGAAGACGAGGTGGAGGATGTCCGCTGATCACTTCCTAGAAGTCAGGAAGCGTTCTTAATCTGTCAAATATTCTCCTGATAAAGAAAAGCAAACATTTCTGATAAGATGCTGAGAACAATCTGAGGCTGCAGCTGCTTTCTTCCATCACCACAGATCTATAAATGTTAAACAAAACGTTTAAATCTGTTTTTTTATTTCATGGTTTATTACAGTTAAGAATATTTGTTTAGCATTTGCTAGTTTTTCATCAGCTGCAGATTTAAGTTTAATGATTTTATTTTGGGCTCAATAATTGACCAACAATCATTTCCAGAAGACTTTAACAGTTAGAATCGTTCTGCTTTTTCCCTCCATTTGAAATTAAAGTTTCTGATCTATTTTTATTAAAAAACTAAAGAAAAATATCTTTTTTTTCCCCTGCCAGGCAAATCAGGTAAAAACCCGAACCCATACTGGAGTAGTATCTGGGTAAATCCCTCAGTGGGCGGGGCCTGATGCTAGACTTTAAATGCTCAGTACCTTAAATATATCAACTTATCAAATATTAAACCAAAAAGGCCTGTTTGATGCTCTAATATTGATGGAAAGCCTGTTTATTTCCCTTTAAAATTCATTTAACATGAAAATCTTAACAGATCCTGTTTGTTCCAAAAAAGTTCAAAAACAATCAACTGGACTCTGTCTTCATGTTTTAAGACGTTTCGCTCCCATCCAGGAAGCTATCATCACTACCTCCCCCCCCCTTTCAGAGACATAGACAGGTATGGGGCATTGCAGGCTAACAAAGAAGCCAAACGACCCCCATTCCAAAGGGGGGGACCCGTTCATCCGTTTCTATTTGCATGTTTTCTAAAGGCTTTGTTGAGCTCCTGTATAAAGCCTCAAACTCAGCGCCGTCTCTGACATTTTGAATTGAAAAATCGTCTTCAAACTTTGAACAAAGTCCAGTGGATTGTTTTATTTTAACTTTTTAGTAATTTTATGATTGTGTTCAGCCTTGTCCTGTCGGTGTATAAAGTGCTTCATAAATAAAGTGGGTACGGTACGGTAAGTAACCATGGGTGGTAGTGCTGAAGTGCATCTAGTGATCTTTTCCAACCTCAGCCTGTGCATTAATAACGCAGTCTTTGAAAGAGGGTTAAAAATAAAGACTTTTCTCCACATTTAGAGCCGCCATGGTTGTTGTTTTTTCCCCGCTTCTGCGTAGCAAGACGCAGAATAGTGACCTTTGTTGAGTTTTAATGGTGTCGCTGGTCAGACACAGGTCACATTTTTAAAAAGATCAGATTCATATCTGATTCAGGACCACATGGCCAAGTGGGCTGGGTTGGATTGGAAAGAAAAGTCGGATCTGTTTTGTTCAGACTGTCATTAAAAGATCGGATGCAGGTCGCATGTAGGGGAAAAAATGGGATTTTGGTCCCTTCAGGCTGCTGCGTGAATGTAGCCTTAGATTTAGTTTTATTCCTGGGCTGATTTGTCTAAAGTCAGGTTAGCTGGTCGGCCCTAAGCTGGGTTAAGGATCCGTCTGAGCGGTCTGAGGACTGATCCCGGCTCCTCTGCTGCAGGGTGTGCCCTCCACTCTCTGCCTCTCCGTTAAATGTCAGCCGCCACATCAGCTCGGCGTGAACACAGAGCTGCTCTGTGGTGAGGATGGCGGATGGGAAATGAGGTTTCTCCCTCTGTAAACACTGTGACGTTTCTGCAGCGCAGGACACAGCCATGCTGTGACCAGACGGGCCTTACCTGCAGCTCTGGTCAACAGAACCAACTCTGAGCTCCTAAATGAACCCTGTGTCTGTCCGCTCCACCCTCAGGGGGGCCCGGCCCCCGCTCCTTATTAAAGGAGGTCTTTCTCATTTTGGAAAATGTTGAACATCGTAGCTTTACGTCTGATATGAAGCCAAAGATTCCCAGCTTTGGTATTTCTGTTTGTTACTGAGCTGCTTCTGTTAGTACAGTCAAGCTAGCAGCTTCCCTTTGTTTCTAGTAGGGTTTAGTTTCATCTGGAAGAAACAGGTTTGTTCCAGACGACTGGAAGAAAGTCCTGGGACATCGAGGAATTAAGATTATTTTATATAATTTATTACGTGTATGTAAAACAAATGTAGATGAATGAGTAACTATTGGTCAAATGTAAGAAAAGGCTCAGATTCCACCAGCTGGCTTTCTGCTTCCTTCATTTCTTTTGCTGTTCATGTCCCTAAACCCCCCCTGGTTTATAGATATTGAACCCCACCTCAGGGTTATTACTGAATTTAGGTCCCGTCCCTCAGTGAGGTCTAGAAACACAAGATCTATATCCAACCATTCAGTAAAGATCCTGCTACATGGCTGAACATCTTATTTTGGTATTGGTCAAATGCCAAAATAAAACTTCTTTTGTAAGTCAACAAAAAGAGGTAAAAAGCTAATTGAAAAATTATAAAGTTAATAAGCCTAGTTAACTATTATATTTAGGTTTCTAAACTAAATAAATCTAAGTGCCAGTATCAGCATTAATGCCTCTAAGGTTATGTTAGACCAAAAAAAATGTGTTTTTCATGAATTTTTTATAGAAGCACTTTTTTTTTTTTTTTCTTAATATATTCGGGCAAGTTGCCGTTTCTTGTTATTACATTGACATTAATTTTTTCCATTAACATATCCATATTTTTTTAATGTTACAAACATAATAAGTAGGGTTGTCAAAAGTATCGATACTCAAAAAAGTAAGACGTTTTTTATCAAGATTGCTTAATATTGTGCACAGCAAACAACCTCAAAATATTGTTCTTATTGTTTATTGTATTTATTTATTGTATTTTATTTATTAATGAAAATATTTCAGTTGAATTTTGGAGTCTTGTTTTTATCCTTGTGGTATCCAAAATGGTATCGAGTATCGAATATTTTCCTTAGTATCGGAATCGATTTGAAAAGTTTAGTTTCGTGACAACCCTAGTAATAAGGTCTTGTCCTGGATTCCAATAACACTATTGGCTTGAAATTCAGATTTTCAAAGTATTTCATGGAGTGCCCTATAAAGGGTTAAGGCAAAATATTCACAAAAAGAAACAAAAGCTTACAGTAAACTTGATCTTCCAAGTTTCTTCTGGAAGTAACTGGGAGAAACTATTTCTTTCGGCCGGATAAAACACAGAAAAAACCCAACGCTGGTTTCCAGCCTTTAAGCTAAACAGGCAGGGGTAGATCTACCATACGGACAATGTTGCCCCCTAATACCACTCTAAAAGAACATTTATGTGTGTCTCAATATTAAATAATAAAGATAAGAAACAGGCTTTTAGTTAGCAATACGTACAGGCGTATATTGTACGCCCTTTACTAAGAAAATAACAAATTGTACGTCCTATTTTTGGAACTCCCTAAAATCCTCCATCAACTTTACTCAAGTGTTCAAAATTTTAGAAGCAGCAGAAGCTGGAGTTGGAAAAATTAAATTTTTGCTGCTGGATGCGCCGCATCAACCAATGAGAGAAGCTGATCTGGGAGCTGGCAGGGAGTCAGACGCAGCACTGCTGATGCAGAGCGCTATGATCACTCCTCTGAAACAGTTTATTAACGCCTAAATTAACTTCAAATGTAGAAACCTGCCGGCAGAATATGTTGGCTTTTATTATCCTGCTGCCTGCAGCACAACAGGATAATAAAAGCCAACATAT